CTTTACTCTCACAGTTATAAAACCTCATTGATCCCCCTTTCTCTTATGATCAATATTCACAACGTCTCCTTTCACTCTAAACAACTTTTTTAAGTATATCAGTTAAAATATTAAAAAATTAAATTAACCCTATGCTCTCCTTTCCAATCTTTTGTATTTTAAATATAAGCAGAGCATGAATATATTGCATCTCATCATAAAAAAGAAGCATTTATACAACACAGATACAGGGGGACCCTGGAAAAGCACTCTCCCAGTGCTGAGGGCATGTGGCCTGGTATGGCAGGGAGGGGGGGGGAGTGCTCGCTCGTCCCCCCCTTTCCTGCTCTGCCAGGCCTGTGCTCATTGTAAGGGGCTGGTTAGGAATTTTGGGGGACCCCACTTTTTCCTCCCCCATTTTTTGGGGTGGGATTCCTCCTACAAATTCCTACCAGACCTAAAGGGTCTGGTATGACTTTAGGAGGAACACTACGCAATTTTTTAAATTTTTTACTTGAGGTCCCCCTTAAAAATTAATATGACTTTTGGGGGGAGCCCCATACAATGTATTTATTTTTTACAATTGGGGTCACTCCTGACATTCCTACCAGACTTGAAGGGTCTGGTATAGTTTGAGAGACCCTACGCTGTTTTAATTTACATTTTTTTACAGTTTTTTAAAATGATTTTTTTTTTCTTCTTTTGTTTACATTTTTTTTTATTCTGCTCACTACTTCAGAGGTAGCGAGCAGAATAACCAAGCCAAATGCCATTCGGCCCCTATGAGAATATGGGCGAATGGCAGCGAGTGAACTGCCAGAGGTTTGTCGAACGGCTTCTTCACTTCGGCTCAACCGAACATGCAGAGCATGTTTGTCTGACCGAAGGCAGCCGATGTACAGCTGATTTTAGCCAATGTACGGCTGAAATCAGCCGCACAGGGCCGAAGTGAATAGCCGAACGGCATTGGGCTTGGTTCACTTTTGGCTGTATTTTTACTATATAATGAAAAAAATACAGACAATTTCTAAAAAAAATGTTTTTCTAAAGTTATGTTGTGTGCTTGGTTTGGTTTTGGGATATTTGGGGGGAAGGGGGGTGTTAGGGTTAATGGGTGGGGATGGAGAGAAGTGTTTCACATATATGGGGGGAAGGGGTGGGAGGTATAGGATTATTCTATTCACTTATTTCACATCACATTACTCTAATGACTATACTTATCTATATTGTCTACACAATAATTAATCAATTCTTGAATAGCACAAATTATGTTCACTTTATCACTAGCTCTTTTTTGTATCATGTTTAAGTTGGATGCCAATTAATTTTGAATTTAGGACCCTACTGTGTCTATTATTATCGTACACTGTGGGGACTATTCACGAAGCTGCCGAAGGATCTAGCCTTCGGCTAGCTTCGGCCCCAGGACCCCTTCGGTTCAGTAGAGATCAGCGTCCCTGGTTACCTGCTAACCAGGGACACTGATCTCCAAACAGCTACTCTCCCTGGCGCTCTGTGGGTTTGCCGCTCCTGGCCGCCAAAGAGAGAAACAGTGCTGTTTCTTTTTTTTTTTATTCTGACACGGAGCCGTGTCAGAATAGAAATTTATTTTTTTCCCATTGGAATGCATTGCTAGATTCCTATTGGCTATTTCAATTTGCAATAGCCAATAGTAAACTAATAGTAAACTAGCACTGTACCCACCCTCTGCTGCAGTTCTCCATCAGGTCCATCAGCAGAGGGCGGGTACAATGCTAGTTTTTTAGTGAATAGACCCCTGTGTGTTAAATTACAAATGTGAAATATCTGATGTTGCTATTATGGCCAATAGGATGTGTTGCTGGTGGGATATGATTCACGCATTGGGGATGTCATCTATCTCACCCAGGATTGATTTAGCCGGTCGTTCCTATGAATACATATTTTGGGGATGGTCTGCACCCCGTAGCACCTCCTCACTTTTGATCAACATTGATCGATCTTTGAGGTTGTGCTGGTGTACCGGGACTGTTCGTTCAATCACCGCGCTGACAGGGGGAGGGGTCTGTCCCTTTTAGCATGAAACGGGACGGCACGGTTGGTTGGTCAGCACCATTCCATTGGGCTGACGGCCCCCGGGTGAGGGGCCTATTTCCCATATTTCGAATGCGCCTATTTAGGGCGCATGTGCGGACCTTGTGCTCGCCGGGGGGCGCATACGCCACAGGCCGATGATTCGGACTGCGTGTGTGTCTGCGGTGGGAAAGTTTTAGAGGAGGGGAGACTCGGGGACTTGGAGAGAGAGAAGTTGGCTCTGGATACTTGAGGAGTTTGAATACTTTACAAGGTACCTAATTGATATCACGTGATATATTCCGTGTTTCTTATCTATTAATAGATCTGGTTATTGCCTTTTAGGACGACTTTTTGAATTGATTAATCTTATAAAACAATTAATACCAATGAGAACTATCTGTGACATTTTTAGATATACTTAGAATATTATTGAGAGAATAGGATTGTCTGGACTAATGGATGATCTAGGATAGAAGTGACATAGATTGAATTTAGATAAGATATATTGACTTACTTGGATACTGTTATGAATATAGAAGTTTTAATTGTTAAGGCTAATTGTAGCGAACCCTAGATCTGTTTTGTATACTCACTGACCTAGCAAAGCTCAGAGAGCGGTTTCATTTTGTTTTATTTTATTTTGTTATGTTGGGTTAGATATGTTATCTTATATGCACATGAAGGTACAACTAGGAGAGTATTGGACTATAATTTAATTTTATAGGTCGAGAAATGACAGGCACTGGAACTTCCCCTTCTCTGCAGCCCCGAGCTATCCCTGTTTCTCTTCTTCTCCTGGCTGAGTGGAAGGACTCCCCTAGATGCGAATTTGCTCGTCATAAGGAATCTCTTATATATGGTATCTATTTATTCCATTATTTATTGATTTATGTAAGCAATTGTTATGTATGGTTAGTTGCTATTTCTAATTACTTGAATGCTCACAAGTAACATTCATATAGATTCTACAGGCCACCTCTATAAACTTCCTGAGGAAGCTACGTCAAAACGCGTTGAAGAATGGAAAAGTACAGATTTTTGGATGGAATATGTAACAATATGGAAATATGTAACAATATGTTGACTGATTTAATCAATTATGGACATTGTTGTAATTAAATCAATGCTAAGAATATGAATTATTGCTATAATGCATAATATAAATCTGTACGGTTTCCTAAGGGGTGACATGCCATTTATATGTATTATGGTCCTGTTTTTAGATGAGTGTGATATGGTTTTACATACAATTATTGCTAATCATGAAATTACGTTATTAAATATGAATTTTACTATATAAAAATGAGTTACGTAGTATTATGTCTATCTTATCTCCTTGCATTATTCCCGAGTCACCTTGAAAGCCCCATTTTTTGGTCGGTATTTATGTTTTGGATTTAGGGGTTGGTGTCTCTGTTTAGTGCTGATCTCAATATTTGTTTTATTACTATATAATGAAAAAATACACACAATTTAGAAAAAAAATGTTTTTCTATGTTAAAAAAGAATTTGTAAAGGCTATGGAAAAAACAAAACCAGGTTTCCAATATCTCTATGAAAGGTTCCCAAGACTTAGGGGTCTATTCACAAAGCAGCCGAAGGATCTAGCCGTAGCTTCGGACAATCCTTCGGCTAGCTTCGGCCCCAGGACCCCTTCGGTTCAGTAGAACCGAAGGGCTGCATATGGCTCGGCTGAGCCGCGCTGAAAGCAGAAGCCGGCCGACAGCCTGCTTCTGACAACTGGGCGGAGCCAGCCGTGATGTTTCGGATGGCTCCGGCCACTTGCAGAGAGATCACCGCCCCTGGTTACCAGCTAACGAGGGACACTGATCTCCAGACAGCAAACTCTCCCGGGCGCTCCGGGAGTCTCCCGCACCCGGCCTCTCAGGAGAGAAACACTGCTTTTTCTTTTTTTACTGTGATTTGCGGTCCACGAAACGCGTGTCAAACGAGAGCTATCCGGCTGTATCCTAATGGATACACGTGGAAATACGCCCCAAAGAAGCTCCTGTACTTCTTTGGGCGTAGGGCGTTTTTCAGCGCGTCGCAACGCGCTGAAATACGCCCAAATGGGATCCATGTCCATAGCACATAATGGGATTTGACTGTTTGAGTGTTTTACAGCGCTTCGATCAGCGCTGTAAAACGCCCAGGTGTGAACCAGGCCTAAAGCACTTGGTGCAAACATGTCACTGAAAATTCACTTCTTACACTCGCATTTAGACTATTGGCCTTTGAACTATGGGGCAGTGAGTGATGAGCATGGGGAGAGATTCCACCAGGATATCACAGGCATGGAGAAAAGATACCAAGGGAAATGCATGAAAATGTTACATGAAAAACCAATAAATGAATGGAAAGTTCTGTTATTGGTATCAATAAAAAGATACATTTATAATGATTGGTGTGGCACCATTCTCATTGCTATATCACATTTTGTAGAAAAGTTATGGAGCATAATCACACATCTCCTCATAATTTTGAATCATTTTGATGCAATTTTGACCGAAGCTGTATCTTGGAAACTGGAGCCAATTAATACTCACAACGTAATTTTTCCTTTATTAGTGACCCAATTCTGGTAAAATTTAGCTACTTTCATTTACGAGGCTTTCTCCTTGTAGACTGGTGTATTCAGCTAAACAAGATTTGCTGGGATTTTCACTTAAAGTTTCTCAGCAGAGATTCTAACCTGTCACTCACAGGATGAATGGGGGATTTTATAGTAGAGCTTCTTGGCACACTATTAACTATTCTTCCATGTTTAAAGAAGTAGCTAAACTTTCATACAAAATGTCTTCTGAGTAATTAAAGTTGGCCCCATGATCAATAATAATCTTGCTTACAATCACAATTCATGACATATATGTAGATATGTATTATATATATTTGAATGAACTTTAGTAATGATATCTGTGACTGTTTTTTTTTATAAAAGAGGAAGGAGGTTTTTGTACGGCTCTGTATCACTGTGTGAGAGGGGAGCTCAAACCCTGCTGACAGTAATAACTTCCTTCATCATCTTCAGTGCCTCCAGTGATGGTTAGTTTGTATACATTTCCAGATTTGGAACCACTGAACCTGTCCGGGATCCCAGATGGACGAGTGCCTGCATCATATATAAGAAGATTTGGAGGTTGGTGGGGCTTCTGTTGGTACCAGGCTACCAAGCCATAAACATCAGCACTGGATGTACATGTGATGGTGACTGTCTGTCCAGGGGACACAGAGATAGAATCCGGAGTCTGAGTCATCACAATCTGTCCGCAGGATCCTGAGGATGGGAAGAGACATATTGATTATTGATAAATGTCTGTATATCTTCCTATCAAACCTGATGTGTGTATGCATTGTACAATGTATAGATGTATGTGCAGAGGATGATGGAAGGAGCCTCATCTCTCACCCTGAATAGAAATGAAGATGACGGCCAGCAGATAACTGTGAGAAAGCATCTTGATGTTTGTCAGATACAGTGTCAGATACAAAGTAGAAGACGTCTCCCGTACAATGAGATATATAGAGAGAGTGACAGGGGAGAAGTTACACCCCAAACACTATGTATGCAAAGATGAGGGATATGCAAATGTAACTATTTATATCTCAGGACCTTCTGCAGTAAATATACCTCTACAAAAAAAAAGTTTTTAAGCAGCCAGCACAAATCAAGTATTTTATACTTCTGTACAAGCAACATAATAAAACCAGTGCAGTGCGTATTACCATATACACACTTGTTAATAGTCAGTGTATTACCTTATAAAATGAATCTTAACTTTCCCATATATAAAATTCAATAACTGTATAATAAAATGTATCACATTTCAACATATAAATGCAGAGGCATAACTAGAAACCTCAGGGCCTTAGTGCAAGAAACCACAAAGGGCCCCCCATCAAAAAATGTCAGCGCCTCGCCGGTTACCGGGACCAGGCCCTCTTCTTCCTTTCCGGGCCCCCTTAAGTGGTGGAACACCAGGGCCTGGTCACCGATGCTACTGCTATGACCCTGGTAGTCCCGCCAGTGGATCTAGGTCAGGTTGCCCTCACACAGAAAATCTGCCTGTGATGTCACAATATGACTTTTTATGGCTCCGCTGCACCCAGCATTAGGGATAAAAAAAGTCTGGAGGCAACAAAGAGACATGTAAAAGAAACAGAAGCTTTATAGCCAAACCTAAAAGAGAGAGCAGTATTGCACAGAAAGAAAGCTAATATAACACAAGGAAGATATGTATAAACATATAAGTAACCATGCGCACAAATAACAAATGTACTATTTATGCACTATATGACAGCTGTGCAGCAGGCGATGAGGGCTTACATGTAGTACTACTTTTATATTTGTCCCTCCGACACCCCAATGATATGACTTCAGCAGGGGTTCCCCAAAACCTGAAAATGATTTCAAGTGTTCTTCTAGAGTAGAAATATAGAGAAAGATTTCTCTAAACCTGGAGTAGGCAACCTTGGCACTAAAAGCTGTTGCTTTTAGTGCCAAAAGCTGGAACTACACGTCCCATGAGGCATTGCAAGACTGACAGCTGCAGGTATGACTCCCAGCGGCTGAGGCATGATGGAATTTGTAGTTTTGGCACAGATGGAGTACCCAGGTTGCCTATGCCTGGAGTAAACTGTCCAACCATCATTCTGACATATGTGTGTTGTTACAATCCAGAGATAAGTGGGTCTATACTTAATTTAGGACAAGACCCCACCCACTGTATGTTATCTGTAAATAATAAAACCAGGGAATCCGCTTCAGTATCTCTTACTAACACCTAGTTAATGTATAAACTAAAGCAACACTAAGCCAATAGGATTGCAGTTTATATTCTCACTGAGGACAGTTAAAAAATGAAAGGTAACTCATGTCTGGTTTATAGAAGTAACAGCTCCATTCTTCTTGTGTGCTGATTTAATCTCTATAGCCTATGATCACAATGTACACACAATATTTATAGTTGAGGTGCAACGAAATGAAAATGTCAAAACTAAAACAAAACCGAAATTAAAAAAAGGCTGGCCAAAACCGAACCCGAAAATGTATTTTTTTCTAACTTTTTCAGATTTTTAAAAATATTATATTTTTATTTTTTATGAACTTTTTATTTTTTTATATTTTATTTTTATTAAATATTTTTATTTTTTTATTTTACTTTTAGGGGCTTTGGGGAAATATTGGGGGTCTAAACAGACCCCTGATATTTCCCTTTTAAAATAGAAAAAGAGATTGAGAACACACAGTCCTCAATCTCTTTTTCTGCAGCCCCTGTTATAAAGGAACAGGAATCCTCTATGAGTGTTCCTGTTCATTCACAACTTGTGGAGACAGTAAGTTACTATGTCCACAATCATGAATGAACAGGAGGTGATGTAGAGCACTTCCCATTCATTCATAATTGTGGACACAGTAAACATACTATGTCCTCAATTATTTACACTTAGCGATCACTGATCACTGACTGCTTGTTCCCGCTCTCCTTTCTGACTCACTATCACAGGAGGCTGAGTGAGCTGTGCGGGGGAGGAGATCTCGATCTGACAGCTGACTCCTCCCCCGCACATCCAGCCGGCCTCTTGTGACAACTTTGAGAGCTGTCTCCGCCCCACACCGCCGCCCTCCTGATCTGTGACATGAGGCTGAGCAGTGCAGGGAGGAGAGATGCTGGCCACTCACAGAGCAGAGGGAAAGCAGATGCACTGCTATTACGGCCAAAAAAATTGCACTTTCGGCATTTTGCCAAAAGTGCCATTTTTGGCCAATACGTTTCGGTGGCCGAAATATCAGCGCATCCCAAATTAATACAGCCGGAGGGTGAACACTCAGCAGATGTCATTGCAAAGCAAGAATGGACACCTCCAGGACTCTACTTAGTATATACAGGGTGTACACAGACACACCCGGCTGCCAATGCTCAGTGTCAGGATCTAACATGGTTTCATCCCTGTTATATCAGATCTGTCAGGAAGGTAAAGCATATGATCTGTGAAGTACATATTACCGTGTAAGTGCTGGAACACTAGTTGCTAGTGGCAGCGATGCATTTGTGGGAATCTGAGATATTATTGATTTTAGCAATTGTTTACAATATTTCTATTGTGATGGAGTGTGTTTATGTTAGTTAGGTAAGATAAAAAGATAAAGATAAAAATATATATTACCGAATATCACAAAACTATATGAACGCATGGAACTATGAGATTATAGAAAGGGTTTGCATTGGGGAACATATGCACCCATGTCAGAACAGATATATCCATGTAAGGGGAGGAAAATGAAACTGGGGGATGTGGTGGAGGAACCTTTCATTAAGGGAACAGCTATGTATTCATTCATGCGTAAATGTATAATTTAAAAAAAACAAAAACGTTTGGAAACAGTATATACAGTATATTTTATGACTAGAATCCCTTAAAGACTGGGGATTAGTGCTGGGGGGAACTTCACACACGGCGGAACCAGATGGCATCCAACTGAGAGGCAAGGCATAACTATAATATAAGTGAGGATCAAAATTGTTGCGAAGGATATATACTAAGTTAAAATAATCATAGGAATTCAAAATGCAAATCGTGGAAAGAAAGTATCGTTTTTTCAGCCTTGTTAAAGCGACAAAGGTTGCCTAGCAACACAGATATAACAAGCATGAAGGGAGTGAGTTAGATGCGGCCTGTAGGATTGCCACACCCCCCCCCCATCGACGTCATACGCTAGCCAGCGTGGCGATCGCGGGAGGGTGGACGCATAAAAAGGGATACTAACTGTCAGTGCAGAGAAAGGGAATGGAGAGATACACACGGATCGGCACGTAGGAAACAAGATACTTTATACTGATTCACTACGGCTGAGAAAGCGGAACACAGCAATGGGTGTGATTGCTTAAGGTAAAGGAACGCTGGGGCACTAAGGATGTATATGTGGGTTGGCGGTGTTTAAGCACAAAAGATTTTCAACTTTGCTTTTTGGGGGGGATAGAAAGGGCCATTCAAAACCCCGACTACACAGATCTTGAACTTAATCACGTTAATATAGATATGTAGGTGAATATGGTATCTAAGACCGCCCGGATATATCGGCCACTATACTTAGGAATAGAGGGAGAGCACTATAAACATGTAAAATTCACCATATTTGAATACAAAATGAAACACAGACTTCTATACAAATTAAGCACTATGATCATTTTCTAGCACTGTGAAGGTATATTGGATTCCCTGTGCGTCTCTGGTTCCGCCGGGTGACACTCTGTTTCAGAGTAGACGAGATTAACCCCATCACCCTGGAGGGGGATGAAAGTCCTCTCCAGGATCTTGCAGTTCCGGGTTGAAATAGTCGAGTAGAAAGGTAATACAATTCAATTAGATTTATATATATATATGTATGTTAACTCACTATGCTTCTGATATATCTAGACCAATGAATGTGTTCTTTGTAAAATATTATTATCGAATACAAACAATGATGAATTATCTGTATATATTGAACAAATGAATTAATAATGAATGTAAATGATCTAATTGATGCACTAAAAATGAATTAATATTGATGGATAAACAATTAATGTGAACAAGATTCCCCATGCATAAATATCAATGTCAAGCTTTCAATAACAAATGAAAAAGATAAACATTGATATCTCATTGAAAAATGAAATATTATTAAATTATATACATAACTAGAAACTGAAAATGAAATGAATGGAAGTTTACTGATATATTGTATGTTCTTTTCTTCTTTTGAAAAAACAGATTATTGCTGAAAGTCGGTATACACAAACATACGGAGTGAATATATCCCCATGAGGAAGCCTTTCTGGGCGTAACATGTAGGGGACTCATCAAATAGTAATATACCTGTATTAGAAAGCATTAATTATGTGTATATCCTTATCCACATGAATGTATTGTAAATGTATGAAATACGGTTTGCAAATATACCAATCAGCAATAGTCTTAGAATTAGATACATGTATTTGTGAATTGCACATGAACATCAACACAAGAGAAGTTGTAAATAATATTTTATTGAACTGCAGGAATCTTTTAAACCAACAAGAATTTAAAATCAAATAAATATATTTTTTCATATTATATATATCTGAGTCCTTCATAAACACACTCCATCACAATAGAAATATTGTAAACAATTGCTAAACTCACTAAGTAGGAGGTGTGGACTCAGGTCGCCTAGGGTGGGGTCTGGGAAGTACCATTACTGGATTGACAGAGATATTATTGATGATCTACATTTTTTCCTAAATGTAAAATAATGAGACGAGAGAAATTTCCCCTCCATCAAATTTTGTTTCGTAATCAATGGCCTTTCTGGCCTTCCCAACATTATATATCAGCTACTCACATCAGACTATAGTGAGCTATGTGTGTCTAAGTGCTTTTCTCTCCAAGCCCAGTGCCTGAAACATGCTACTGTCAGAGATTTTTCTTTGCGCTTTCATAAACCCCAGGAGGTTTATGGTGAATAAAGCTTTTGCTTCTGTTCTTCATTTTTTATTTTGTTTCTAGAGCCAGATCCATAACTCCCACTTATGTACGGTAATATGATAAGAATTTAATATAAGGAATGAGTGCAGGTAATTCCATTATCAGTCAGAGAAACAATACATACAGAGCATATTCCTGTAAAGACAAATAGGAACCGAACACCTGTAGATGGGGGGATCAGTACATTTTCTTCAGTATTATAGGGATAAGGTAAAGAAAGGGAATGCAGTGATTTCTTTATTTTTCAACTTCTTTATCACTTTTTTTCATTTAATTATTATTTCTCATTATTTTTTTAATTTTTATTGAAAAAATGTAACTTAACTTGATTGATATCACACAGGAGCTAGCTAACAAGCCCCTGTGTCATAGCCTTCAGAGGTGACAGGTTCTCTTTATTGACCCTGTCACCTCCAATACAAGAGTTCTAGCACAGCACTGTGGTGGAACTCCTGTGACAGCTGAGATGGGAAGAGCACTGCTCTCCCCTCTCACTGTGTTCACGGAGCGGGAGGGGTAGTTTTAAACCTGCCGCTCTGCTCCCTGCATCGGCGGCCAGTGAGGAGAGACTCGGCGGCCGGTGGGAGGACGGAACCAGAAGAGAATGGTAGGGGCGAGGGGGAGGGAGGACGGACTGACAGGCTGCACACATTTTACAAGTGATCGCGGCGATCACTTGTAAACGAACAAACGGCTTCCCCACACTACATTTAGTCCTTCCTTCCTGCCTTCATTTAGTCCTGCCTTCCCAAAGCAGGACTAAATGTAGAAAGCGCAACTTTATGTTCCTGGTGCCGGGGGATTCCACCCCGCTGCCGCCCCTCTGCTCCCTGCCGTCCCGAGGCCGAACCTCGGTGGTCTTGTGGGGAATCCGGGCCTGGATTATAGGCATAAGGTAAAGAAAGGGAATGCAGTGAAAGCTTGTCCTGAAAATGTAACTGTTAGTGCAAATAAAAGATATTACACATATAACCTCCCCAAACGTGAAACATACCGATATCTACAGGTGTCACATCTCCTGACTGCGTTCAATACCACTAACTATACCAATTGATGCCAACCTCCATAAATTCTTATTTAGCTCCACCCCTATCAAAGGAGGTATCTCTACATTCTATGCCCTCTTAGGTCTCTATAATCATTTTCAAAAAACCTCTCCCATGATCAAATGGGAACAGGAACTTGGTACCTCCTTCTCAGATACCCAATGGAAACTGGCACTTCAAGCATCGCACAGGGCATCCCGCTGCTCTAACCATTGGGAACTTTTCCAAAAAATTATCCATAGGTGGTATCATACCCCTTACAAATTATCCAAATTCTCTGCCTCAAATTCACCACTTTGCTGGAGACTGTGCGGCTGCATTGGTTCAATTTCTCACATCTTTTGGCACTGCAGGTCCCTCCGTGTATTCTGGAATGGAGTCTTCCGTATTATCTCCCATTTTTCCCCCTCACCTCTCTCTCCATCCCCAGAACTCGCCCTACTGCATATTAATATTGATATTTTCCCACCGGCAACTCGCACTATTGTTGTGCATATTCTCTATGCAGCTAAATTGTTGATTACCCGTAGATGGTTACAAACAACTCCTCCTAACATCATTGACCTGATTTCATTAGTTAACACCCAATATTCTTATGAAAAGATGTTTGCCATGAAAAATAACTCATATCCTATATTCCTTTCAGCTTGGAGAAAATGGATTGTACATCCATACTGCATTGTTATATCTCAAATATTGCCTGACGCATAACTGGTCCATACCTTGTCTTCCCTCCTTCCTCCCCTCCTCTCTTTCCACTTGTTTTGTCATCCTCCCTTCCTCCTAACCTCCCTATAAATGGAAATGATATTGCAAAGCATACTGTATCCTGGATGTTAAGTTGGTTATGTTATATGCATTTTGTTATGTATGCTTCACTTGACTTCAATAAAGAACTATTGAAAGTAAAAGATATTACACAAAGTACTCCAATGTTTTCTTGCAAGTTACTAATATGACTACAATCACCGGAAGGGAGAAGATAAGACATATCAGTAAGAAAAGTCACACACATTTGTCCTATTTCTGGACCAGTTTGGATATACATCCCTCCTACAGCCTCATAATGACCACTCATATCTTATAAGATCTACTCACAAATATGATAGGATGGCTGACTTACATTAAATCAGGACACAAAGGAGAAAATCCCAAATGAAAATTTAGATGCAATCCACTACATCAGGAGCGCCACTCACAATTTCCATCCACCCATCACTATGGCGGTGTACACCACTGGCCTATATATTTCAAGGGACGTGCTCTCTTTCCCCGAGCCTGATGAAGAAAGTGTATCCCTTGAAACGCATAAACTAGTAATAAAAAATACTGTGGTTGAACATACTTTACTATGTCAGCTATGCTTAAGTTATGATCCTCCGCATCTTCATTATGACCTGTGAAGTGAATATTAGCATGTGAGTGCTGGAACTATTTATATGAATATAGTATCCTGCCAGAGAGGTTTGCTTGTGTTCTTCTCCAGTACAAGTCACCTGAATATATTGTATCTTATGGAATAAGTATTTAACTTGTAGACCCATTACTAGGGATGCACCGATACCAGTATTTCGGTATCGAGTACGAGTAGCGATATACATTTTTTTCCAGTACTCACCGATACCGAATTCCGATACCTGAAGTCTAATTAAGGAAGCCAGACGGCGTGTAATGACTCGCCACTCGGCTTCCCGATTAGCAGGGAAGCCATCCCCATGCTACTAGTCACTATGTGATGAGAAAGCATGGTGCCGGCTTTCTGGCCAATCAGGAAGCCGGGCAGTGACGCGGCGTCCGGCTTCCTGATTGGCCTGGAAGCCAGCTCCATCATCATGAGGTGACGAGGGAGCATGAAGCTGGCTTCCCAGCCAATCAGAAAGCCAGGCACCGCGGCATTAAACGGCGCCTGGCTTCCTGATTGGCCGAGAAGCAAATCAGTGACAAAGGAGCATGGAGCCTGCTTCCCGGCCAATTAGGAAGCCTGGCAGCGTGTAATTATACGCTGCCCGGCTTCCTGATACAGAAAGTATCGGGCTAGGCATCTAAACATTTGAATGAGTACGAGTACTCGCCCAAATACTCGGCATCAGCACCGATACCTATACTAGTATCGGTATTGGTGCATCCCTACCCATTCCCATAGTACAGTACAGGGAATTGTGTAGCATACTTCTTATATTTCTATTAAAATTCAGTATTTGCAATATTGATATTAATAGTGCTCACAGGGATAAGCAGTTAGAGACATTATCTCCAAAAACTTTACACAGGTTCTTCCCTACCTTCCTAAAACTTCCCAAATATTTAACTAATTGGCAACAGTGGATAAGCACACTACTGCTGGGTGAAACTCTGTGGAAATGGACAGGGGATATGACCAACAGTGTGCAAGCTCTTTAAACCAGGGAGAGGAACCCTGTGACCAAATTAGCAAAAATACACACATACAAAGAGCGCTACTACTACATGGTAGGACCCAGCCAGTACTTTCAAGGTCCGGAGGTCCGCCCAAAAAATTTTTTATTTGATAGCAGGATTGGGACATTCCAATGTAAAAAGTCTAGATAACTTACTTGTCAATTCATCCAACATGGCCAGACCATGTTCTATGATCATCTCAAAAATCCCTACAGCATTAGACAATTTATCACATGTTCACACAACCATGTTGTGTATGGACTCACGTGCCCCAGTGGTCTGATTTATGTTGGCCGCACTATACGCCCTTTAAGTACCAGAATTGGTGAACATAGGCGTCTAATTGAGAAGGGTGATTTTGAACATAGTGTTCCCCGACACTTCACCCTGAAACACCAAAAAAGAACTCAAGATCTCCATGTGTTCGCCATAGAACACATTTCCACACATCTATCCTCATCTGAACGCTTTCACCTTTTATGTAAAAGAGATACCTTTTGGATATATGTCTCTTTTTTTCATTTGAGCTCCTGTCTCTGAGGGATTGTCACCATAATCTATTATTGTCTTGCTAACTATCAGAGTTATTAAAAGTGTATTAGATTTGTTTGAATGAACTTTAGTAATGATATCTGTGACTGTGTTTCTTTAAGAAAGAGGAAGGAGGTTTTTGTACGGCTCTGTATCACTGTGTGAAAGGAGTGCTAGCATACTGCTGACAGTAATAACTTCCTTCATCATCTTCAGTCACGGCAGTAATTGTCAGAGTGTAACGAATATAAGAAAATCCATCACCCTTGCCAGTGAACCGGTCTGGGACTCCTGTGTGTCGGGTGGTTGCACTATGTATGAGAAGTGTTGGAGACTTTCCTGATTTCTGTTGGTACCAGGCTAAGGCATCATAAATTTTAGCACTGGATGTACATGTGATGGTGACTGCCTGTCCCGGGGACACAGCGATAGAATCCGGAGTCTGAGTCATCACAGTCTGTCCACAGGATCCTGAGGATGAGAAGAGACATATTGATTATTGATAAATGTCTGTATATCTTCCTATCAATCCTGATGTGTGTATTTATTGTACAATGTATAGATGTATGTGCAAAGGATGATGGAAGGAGCCTCATCTCTCACCCTGAATAGAAATGAAGATGATGGCCAGCAGATAACTGTGAGAAAGCATCTTGATGTTTGTGCAGTGTCAGATACCCAGTAGAAGAAGTCTCCAGTACAATGAGATATATAGCGAGGGTGACAGGGAGATGTTACACCCCACACACTGTGTATGCAAATACCGGGGAGATGCAAATGTAACTATTTATAGCTCAAGTCCTTCTGCAGAAAATATACCTCTACAAAAAAATTAAAGTTTTTAAGCAGCCAGCACCAATCAAGTATTTTACACTTCTGTACAAGCAACATAATAAAGCCAATGCAGTGCTTATTACCATATATACAGTTATTAATATTCAGTGTATTACCTTGTAAAATGCATCTTAACTTTCCCATATATAAAGTTCAATAACTGTATAATAAAATGTAGCACATTTCAACATATAAATGGAGAGGCATAACTAGAAACCTAAGGACCCCGGTGCAAAAAAACAAAGGGCCCCCCCCATCAAAAAATGTTTGCTCCTTGGCGGTTAACGAGGCCAGATCCTCTTCCTTTCCGGACCCCCCCCCAAAGTGGTGGAAGACCAGAGCCCGGTCGCAGATGCGACTTCTGTGACCCTGGTAGTCCCGCCAATGGCTTCAGGTCAGGTTTCCCCTTACACAGGAAAATCTGCCTGTGATGTCACAATATGACTTTTTATGGCTCCGCTGCACCCAGCATTAGGGATAAAAAAAGTCTGGAGGCAACAAAGAGACATGTAAAAGAAACAGAAGCTTTATAGCCAAACCTAAAAGAGAGAGCAGTCTTGTGCAGTAAAGAACGCTAATATAACACAAGGACGATATGTATAAACATATAAGTAACCATGCGTACAAATAATAACAAGTGTACTAATTCTGCACTATATGACAGCTGTGCAGCAGGAGATGAGGGACCAAAAAAGATTTAAAGTGTTTTTCTAAAAGAAAAAATATGAAAAAAAAAAAATGAAAGGTAACCCATGACTGGTTTCTAGAAGTGACAACTCCATTCTTCTTGTGTCCTGATTTAATCTCTATATCCTATGATCAGTGGCGACTCTAGGAACAATATATAGGTGGGGGCACATAAGATACCACAGTCAAAATGGGGGGGCACTAATAATTTTCACCACTAAATCATACCACTGAAAAAACGAAAGAAGTATATATAAATAAGATTACAAAATACGAGTAATGCGGTATGCGGTGATACCTTTTTATTGTACTGACCTAATACTTAGAAGACAAGCTTTTAAGAGTTTTTCTTTCTTCCTCAGGTATTGCTTCAGACTTGAGAAAGAGAGGAAAACTCTCAAAAGCTTTTCTTAAGGGCCTGTTCACACGACGTCCCTTTTGTGTGCTGACCGGATCCGTACGCTGCTGCACTCAAAATGCATCGCAATGTATCCCTATGTGTTTTATGGGCTACAGTTCTCACGTGCGCAGTCAGCTCAGCTTACGACAGAAAAAATACTGCATGTCACATTTTGTCCGGTCCGGGAACGCGCAATGGAAACGCAACGCAATGCAGCTAAGGGCTTGTTCACACCAAGCGCGGAGCAGATCCAGAGCAGGTGCAGACCGGATCAAAACTGCGTCCAATGTATTCCTATGGTATTTTGAGCTCCAGTTCACATCGCAGCGTGCAGATCCAGAGCAGATCCAGAGCAGATCCAGAGCAGGTGAAAAAACTGCGGCAAGCCCTATTTTACCTGCTCTGGATCGGCTCTGGAACGCAACAAAAACGCATCCAAGTGCCTGAAAGCCCATGTTAAACTAAAAAAAAAAAAAAAATTGTATTCTATTTTTTACCAAAAACGGCCCGGAACGCATCAAAAACGCGGCCCAACCCACTGCACTGCGTGTGCAGAAACCTGACCGGATCTGCTCTGCATTTGGTGTTAACAAGGACTAAGGAAAAAAAAAAATTGTATTCTTGCTCCACTTATTATGATGTTATCAACAATAGACAGACAGGTTGGGGTAGAGGTAACGACATTTAGATTGTAAGCCCTCAGGGGCAGGGCCCTCCTTACCATCTTGTCTTAAATTGTATTGTGACTGTAATGTCTTCCTTATATTGTAAAGAGCTGCGCAAACTATTGGCGCTATATAAATCCTGTATAATAATAATAATGAACTGCAAACATTTTGAACATGCCCATTACCTTGCCATGGACATACGAGTAAAGGAAAAAAAAATGTATCCGGGTTAGGGATGCACAGATACTTTTCGAGTACCAGTGCAGATACTTGGCATTTTCATGTACCATCTACCAGGGTTGCAGCGGTTGCAGCTGAGACCTGGCTCTGGTGCTCCATCACTGTCCTGAAATCATTAGTGTGTATTGTTTAAGAAAAACGGTCACATGACAATAAACAAAAATGTGTAAGTACGCGGCAAGTACCAGTACTCGTACTCACAAAACTGGTATCTGTGCATCACTTTATTTATATTTATAAAAACTAAATCGTACAATAAAACAGAGATGTAGAAATCCCAGGAGCTCCGTGTGCTCCTTACAAATGACAGCTGCCTCCTAATTTTTTAATTTTTCTCTAGTGTAGTCTTGGAGCTCAAAAGTATCGGTACATGTACTCGTACTTGTACCGAGTACTGTACTTGGTATCTGTGCAACCCTAATCCGGGTGACCTCGAAAATCCTCATACAAACTCCAGAACTGACCCTTGGAGTCCTGGAGCCTCAAGATTGGGTGTACCCAATAACGATGTCTCCTGCGGGCTCGTTCTCTGCAGATTGCTGTAGCCAGCACCATCAACATGCCTGCAAACATGTGATGCATGTCTGATCACCAGCTTTACATACACAAAGGGAAGTAGATGTTCCGAGAGGGCGGAAGTGACCTCAGAGGCTGAATCTGCATAGTGACAGCCCCTTGGCTAAAAAAAAATAATTGTCAGCATCCGGACCGAAAACGCATCAAAAACGCGTCAAAAACGCACTGCATCAGCAGCTCCACGTCTGCTGATCAGGACCTGATCTCATGTGAACAGGCCCTTATAGTTTAAAGCAATTTCAGCAAACACCAGGGCTGTGTAAATAATCACTTATGTAACACAGCGATAGAGGACTACAAACCGCAGCAATACATTATACAGAAATGCAGAATAATATCACCAGCTATAGAGCACTACAAATCCCAGCAATACATTATACAGTAATGGAAAATAATACCAATAGCTATAGAGGACTACAAATCCCAGCAAACATTATACAGCCTTGCGGAATAATACCATTAGCTATAGAGGACTACAAATCCCAGCAAAACATAGAGCAATGCAGAATAATAGCATATACATTTGCCACATACTCTGTGCTGCTGCTCTACTCTGGGGTTCTGGCCTAATGTATTGGGCAGAGCTTGTCAGGAGGGGTGGGGAGGGTCTTAGTAAGGGGATATGTGCGGGTCGCAGAAGCGCTGTAAGCAGGCATTGTGTGGCTCCCCAGAAGGCTGCCGCAAGGTCCCCAGCAAGTGCCGGACCTAAGACACCTAAGTCAATTTAAAAAATGTAAGCGCTGGTATCGGTTTTTAGTATTGGGACAGAGGTCAGTTATAATGCAGAGTGCATTGGTCAATAATGTAGCGCAGAGTGCATTGGTCAATAATGTAGCGCAGAGTGCATTGGTCAATAATGTAGCGCAGAGTGCGGTGCTCAGTAATGTTACACAAAGTGCGGATGACAGCAATGTAACGCAAAGTGCGGAGGACAGCAATTTAATGCACAGTGCGGAGGACAGCAATGTATCGCAGAGTGCGGAGGACAGCAATGTATCGCAGAGTGCGGAGCTCTCTGGTGGTGGGGGGGGACAACAATGTTTCTCCCATGTGAAGCCCCAAGCAGCCTTGTGCGTCTTCTCTGTCCCTACTCTGCTAAAATACATGAGCAGCCAATGGCAGTGCTGCACTCTCCCTCTTAGCCAATAGCAGCAGGAGTGGGCGGAGGAAGATACAAGTGGTTGCCGACTGCCGAGGAGCCCATACAGCAGGGGTCTCAAACTCAATTTAGTCGGGGGCCACTGGACACATTTTTTAGTCCCGTGGGGGCCGCTACTATATACGGTACCAGTGTTAATGTCTGTACATGTTACAAGCGGGAACTGTCACCCATTCAAATTAATGATCGGATGACAGCCGCTGCATGTACACGCCTGCACACCGCATGTAATCATATGTGAAAGGATTACATGCAGTTAGGAATCTGTCACTATCCCTGGTTACACGATTGTGGTTCCAGAGATAGTGATTGTTTTTGTAACTGCATGTAATCATTGTGATGGACTGCACCGTCACTGTGCTAGTTGGAGTGGGCTGCAGACTGGCCTCTTACCCACCGATTATGGCCCAACAAGAGAACAGGAGATTTTGGGACTAAATGTACATTTTATATGCAGACAGTGACTGTTGCCCTCTGGGAAATATATGTTTTAAAATGGTGGAGGACAAGGACTTGGCCACATGGTTTGTCTATTCAAAATGGAGACTTAATTAAGTTAAGTCAGTTGTATAGAAGTTGCATAGCTTTCCCCTCCTCCCACCTGTTATCTGATGCTCACCCTATTGTACTGTGACTGTGTATGTAAATGTCTGATTCCCTGTGTAAGCTGTTATCTGGGTTTGTCATGAGGGGGAAGGGAGGGGAGGGGTTGTAGCCCTCCCAGTGTCTCTAAAGTGAATGTCCTTTGTTTAATAAAGGAGTTGCTCTTTCTATGTTGAACCTTCAACATGAGTTTTGCCTCGTGATTGGGGGTTAGGGGCTGGTTACTGCCAATCTGCTGGCTGAGAGTGGGGTTTGGCGTGCAGGAGACGCTCTTTGGCAGAAGGTACCCAGTCGGGGTACCAGG